CCATTAATTATCAGGAATGTATTTTATGAGGAGAAAAAAACTGTTTAAAAGAGAGAGGAAGGGGAATGATGCTTCCAAACTTTGGAACAGTTGTGATTTTTCTGTTCTCCTAAATCTGTCTTCCTGTAGCCTGTCTACCACCTGATCTATTTGGTATCCACCTCGTAACTCCCATTTTAGATGGGACTTGCCCATTCTGGCCCATTGGTTTCCTCCTCCTACCACCTTCTGAGTTTTCCCACATTCTGTTTTAACTTTCTTTTCTTTCTTTATTTACGTCCATTACAGCCAGATCTCTATGGCTCACAGATGTGCCCAGGGAAGCTCCCAGAGGTGCGTCACAGGCCCCAAATGCTTCTTTGAGATGTCATAGCACTGCAGCAGCAGGTGGATGTGTGTGCAGTAGATTTGTTGCTTGGCTTTTCCCACTTTTTTTCATCAATCCTAAACTTTGGAGGCCCATGTCACACATTGTTTTGTGGACAATTTCTGAGAAGAAGCTATGTGGAAGTAGATTGGGGTGGCCCATTTTTCCTTCAGTGAGCCCTATAATTCACTGCTCAATGTCAGCTGTGCAGTAAAGGGGGAAATGACATGCTGTTAAATCTAGGGAACTATCCTGGATAACTGAAGCAAGTTCTCATCAATAGAATTTCAGTGTAGAGCTGGAGCTTTTAGTGATTGGATCGATTTTCAAATTCCGCCTCACCCATACAATGTTCAAGAATTCATCCAAGGCTTTGGATGAACTCTCAGCCTGTTTTATGAATCCCTGGTTTCTGTATGTTAGCAGTAGAGAATCTAGAGACATCCTTTGCAGCTGTGGTATATCTCAGTGTTGAGAGCTGAAAGGCAGATTTTTTACCCCACAATGTTCCCTGGTATATTGAGAATTAGTTATATCAGGGTGGGGTTTACCTTTAAATCAGACAGCAGTGATCATTTCAGCAAAATGTGTTTGCATTCCTAAGCATGAAAAGTCCAGTGTAAATCTCCTAAAAAACACTGTGTTGTGCACCAGTAGAGAATAGTCTTGTTGTGTCTGCCCTGAAACACCAGGCAAACAAGCTTAAGCCTTAAGGCATTATTCCATGGAAGAGCAGAGTTGGTTTCAGGGAAGTTTCATGCCCTTTTTTTTTCCTCTCACAGTCATTACTTTATTTTTATAAAGTTGGGTCCTGGTTTTAGCTAGATTTTTGATAGAGAAGAAATGATTGCATCTAATTTTAATTGTAAGGTGTCAATCAAAATTTCTGCAAGTAATCTTACAGCGAGCATGGAATCTTGGTAAAGATCTGTGAAGCTGCAGGTTTTAAATACTCTAAACCCACTTTGTTTCCACTCGATGTCTACAGGGCATTCCAGAACAGTGGGCCAGGCTACTACAGACCTCCAACATAACAAAACTGGAGCAGAAGAAGAACCCACAGGCTGTTCTAGATGTTCTCAAATTTTATGATTCGAAAGAAACAGTTAACAACCAGAAATACATGAGCTTTACGTCAGGAGGTAAGTTGATGTCTCCCAACAGGGGAGGTCAGGCTCCAAAACAAGTCAGAGCAAAGTTCAACATTCAAGTTGTCAGGAGGCAACCTGAACCAATTCTACATTGTGTAATACTCCTGAAGTTAATTACATTTCTCCTTTTTTCCTCCCCAAACATCATTAAAATGGTGACTTTGGTTTGTTGCAGGTTTTTAGAACTTACCAAGATTTTGAAACAAAAATGCCATTAAGATAGCATTAGTTTGGCAGAATGCCTGTTGACAGCTTTAGCTAAAAAGAGGGTGTCAGTAGCCAACAGGGTGCAGACAGCATTTGGAGTGAACCTGCTGGGGTTCCATTTCCTCCAGAGGATGGTCTGTGGCAGTAGTCTGTCATTTCCCCAGTTTGAAGGTTCAACTGAGACAGCTTCCAAAATGCAGCTTGTCAGAAGTCTTTCTAAAAACTCTGAACTTACCTCCAGGATTGAGAGAAGGCATCTTTTTTCCCCCAAATTCCATAATTAAAGCATTTGATGTTTACTGTGTCCTAAAATAGCAATTCCCTTTGTGATGAAACGCAGACTTCATAACAGGACATGTGTGCTCCTGAAGCCAGGAGCTGCTCCCGTGCTTGGCAAAAGAAAACCGCCAAGGCCAAAGGGGGGAAAAGGTGGCAACAAACCAAAGAGAAAAAAGGAAGCAAATTGGTGGGAAAAAAAAAAAAACAAAAAAAACCCAAAAAAAACCCAAAAAAAAATCACAGGAAGAAAAGGATTGAAAGCTGCTTTAGCTCTTGGGTGGAACAAAAGCATTGACAGTTAAAGAACAATTTGCATTTTTGTGACTAAATTTCTATTTACTTTATTTATTGGCAAACAGGCCAAAAAAAAGACAGTCTGGAATTTTGTCCTGTTCTCTTCCTTGCTGTTGCTCCTGAAGGGATGGTGCAGATCTCTATTTGGGTTGACTTGTTCTGTGGGATTCCCCAAAACAAGCAGGGATTTTTTCTAACGGTATCTGGTTCATTCTCCTTTGCTCATTGCAGATAAAAGCGCCCATGGATACATAGAAGCCCATCCGTCGGTGAGTGGGAAAGTAGCCTTTGATGTTCCTAGTGTTTAAGAATTGTGGAGCAAGCCATGAGCTTTCCCTGGCTGATTTATGATTTTCCATTTGAGATCTTTTTAAAAAGATGAAAGTCTGGTTTAGCAGACAGAAGATTGTGGGCTCTTTTTAGCCATGGTGTATATCATTCACAACAATATGCAGCACCACCTAATGAGCCCATTTTAATTTAGTTTTCAAAATTTAGAATGCCATTTCTATCAATTTGCATGATTTCTCCTTAGTACAGCTAGATATATAACTGAATATAAATGAGGCTATAATTGATATGTAACTCACTGGAACCATTGAAGGAAAGTTTTAAATAACCATCCATTCTAATTAATGCTGGATTGCAATAGCAGTCCCAGAGATGTAGGAGTGACATACACATTAATACTGACCAAATTTATTAGGGTTATTGTTAGTGAATTGAATAGCAAGTGACTGAATGGGGATTTGGCTTTTACTTTAAAGTGTTAAGCAGCTTCATGTGAGGTTTGTGGTTCCACAGCCAACCGTGTATAATGAAATAAAAATCATTTTTGAATATTCACACTTCAGATTTTCAACCAATGCCACTTCCCTTATCTTTAATAAAACACCCTTCTCAGAGGAAGTGTGGTGTTCACCAGAGCAGAGTAAGCCTTCCCAGTAGCTTTTCCAGTGGATATGGACACCTTGGCAGATGCTGTAGTATTTTTGTCTAGCAGACAGAGGCAGTAGTGAGACAAGTCAGCATGACAGCTTTCCAAAATTACTGACTCGGGTCTCCCTGTTTGCTATGGGCTTCCCGTACTGGTAGTTCTGCTGGATCAAAGGGATGGCATTTTAAAGAGAGTGACAGTCAGATGTGAATATGTTGAATGCCTTTGATTTGCATCAGTTCTCCAAGTGGCCTGTTGTAGCCAGGCCATGTGGAGAAAGTGCAGTTTAAAGCAGTTGGTAAAAACTTCAGAAGGTGCATTTTCATTTTTTTGTTTCATTGTTCATAGTTTTATTTGTTTTTATTGGGATGACATTATCTAACCCCCTGCCTCTGAGTAGCAGCTGGCACTGGTGAAGTTCAATGCAGCTAAACCTTTTAAGTGTTGTGCTGAGTTTAATTTAGAACTTAGGCCCATAGGAGCGTGTGCATGTCTAGATTGGTTTCTGATGTCTAAGAAGACTAAGGGAGTAGGTAGCTGTCAAAGCTTCAAAGTGCCAGGATAGCAGCTGTCACTCACAGTACTGTCTGTCCACAGAGCACAAAAACAGCATCAGAACCTCCTCTGGCTCCCTCCGTGTCTGAAGAAGAGGATGAAGATGATGAAGAGGAGGAAGATGACAATGAACCTCCGCCTGTTATCGCCCCGCGGCCTGAACACACAAAATCAGTAAGTGCCAGCTTTGGTTAGGTCTGTGTTTGGTGCAGTGCAGGGCTGCAAGTTTGTTACCAGACAGCACTGAAGGGGCTTTGGTGGAAGTCCTGAGCTTCACTCCAGACACTGCCACTGGGAAAATCGGGTTTGAACTTTCACATTCACGTGTCACTTTCCTGGGATTCTGGTGAGGGCCATGGCTTTCTTCTTATATCAGGGAAGAGGTACCATCATGTCCTTTAATGCTGCAGGTGTGAAAATGAGCCACTTTGTCCAGCTGTGCAGGCTCCCTGTCAGCAGCGATAGCTGTCCAAAGATGCAGTTCATATCCTGGCAAGATACATAGGACACACTGTCCTCTGGAGGTACCTGCCCCTCTCCATGGACTATATCAGCAAATCCATGAAAATTGATGTGAAACTGGCCATGAACTTGTAACCTTTCATTTTTGCTTGTTCAGTTTGAGAAGTGGGCAGTAAAACCACTTCTAGAGTCCCGGATGTGGCTGATATGATCTTCCTAAGGGTTTATACTTGAAATATGATCTCAGGGGATCTCTGCCAGCCACCTTTCTGACACAAAATAATTTCTTGTCACAGATCTACACACGCTCTGTTATTGAACCTGCCGCTGCACCAGCACCAGCTAAAGAAGCCACCACTCCCCAGCCTGAAAACTCAAACACAAACACCCTGTACAGAAACACAGACCGGCAGCGAAAAAAGTCCAAGATGACAGATGAGGAGATCCTAGAGAAACTGAGTATGTATTGGGTATTTTGAGTCTGCTAGAGCAGTCTATTTCCTGCATGTGTCAGCATTAGCTGTACCAAATGTTTCTCACAGTTTAGTGTCTTAGAGTCATTTACAACTCCTTACAGAAACTGTTGTGCTTCAAGGCAGTAAGGGAACACTTGGGGTGTTCCTGCTGCCTCTGAGGGCAGCTGGGACTGGGTTGGGTTTGCCTGAGCTTCCTTCTGTGCTTAAGGCAAAAGCAGAAATCATTCTGGTTGAGCAAAAAGCTGTGACCTAGTGAATGATGTAGGGAACTCCTGAGTACTAATGGCCAAATGAAACAGAAAGTTTAGGTTCCTAAATTCTCTCTAGATCCCTAACTTCTCATGATTCATTGGAGTCAAATACTTTGCAAAAATCTGTTGGGTTTTTGAATTTTTGTTTATGGGAGGTTTTTTTATTGGTGTGGGTTTTTTTACCAGTAGACAACTGCAGCACTAAACTGGTTCCTTCAACTTCAGTGAGCTCTCCTTGAGATAGTTACACGTTTTCCAGGTATTCTCTTGCTGTTCTTTTTGTAACTGTTACTGTTCCTCCTACTTCTACAGTTTGATTTTATAAGAATTTTGCAGTTTTGTTAGTGAGCTCTCCTTTGGAAGAGCTATATCTGCTATATATTCCTCAGAAAATACAGCATTTTCTCATGGCTAATTCTCAGCCAGGTAATAATATTAGAATCCTAACCACTGGCACCAACCCCCGTGCACATCATACTCTACTGAAGCACATTGGGCCCTTCCTGATTCTCCAGTGCAACCAATTTAATTTGCTTCTTGCATGTGATAGCTGCCAGTGTAGTGTTCTCAGATTGAATGGTTTGGTTCAGAACAGGGCCCAGATTATTCTGTGTATACCATTAATTGTTAGTAAAAAAGGCAGATTGATCTACACCTCCTTCTGTCAGATCACACAGCTTAAAATGTGTCTTTAATGGAGGCAACTGCTTGTAATAGAGTGCTCTGTGGCTGTGGTGGTTGCCATTGCTCAACCTTCTTGTCATATTTGCCCTGCCACTGATGGCTGCTGTGAATGCACAGGCTGAAGCCTTCCTTAGCTGTCAGATTTTGGCTGCTTGCATAGAGCTTCCTGCATCCTTACCAGGTTGACATGAATCTCAGTGACATTAGGGAGTATCCAAGGGATAAATTCAATAGCTTTAGCTGAGGGTGCAGTGAAATAAGTTCCAGAGAAGGTGTTTACCTGCAGGTATGTCAGCTTATAGAGAGAGAAATTCTGCTACTTCAACTGATGTTAAATGTTTGAGGCACGATTCCCCCACTGAGATCTACAGGTACCCTGCATCCATGAGCTCAAGTATGAGCTGAAGTGTGATAAATGAGTATCAAGAATGATAAATGAGTATCATTTATTCAAGCTGCTGTATATGCCAGGTTGGGACTGAGCCTTGGAGTTTTTGGGGGTTGTATCTTTGAAATGTTACATGCTTTCATGCTTTTTCTTTCTTAACAATCTGTTACCAAGTGAGCAAGGTCTGAATGTCTGCCTTAGGCAAATTGTGATGTCGGCAGCAAAAATACTTTTGTGCTTTCATGAAGCTATCTGAAAACAGGCATGATACTTTTTTATTACAGTCTTGAACTAATTATATTTAAGCAGTGTGGTGTTTGTTCTGTTTTAACTCACATGACTGCTCCACCTTGCCTACTTCCCTCACAACTCTTTCTATGCTACTTTTAGGAAGATGTCCCCTGCCCTCTTTTATCTAAAATTGCTTTCATAATTCTTTTCTGCTTGAAATACCTTGAGTTCTTTTAGAGCTTTTAGAGTTTCATTAGTGAGTAAAGACTGTAATATTGAGATAAGATCAAATAAAATTTTGTCTGTAATGAAATCATGACTATGTTCCACTGATAACTATAAAACAGAACTGGCCCAATTCAGCTTTCTTAGTCACTTAATTTAGGACTTGATAATGCAAAGTGCTTAAAGACATAAAAATAGCTGATAGGTTTATCCTTTGTCCAGAGCAGGGAGTGCTTGTCTGATTAGGAGCTGTGTACCTGTCACTTTGTTGATTTTAATGCTGTAATGTTTGATATATATTGGCTTAAGTACAGGGAACCAGCCACAAAAAACTGCCTTGGAAAAGCAGCTACTCAGCTCTTGAGGAAAAACTCTGCAAATCTGAACTTCAAAATTAGTTGGAAAAATTGGAAAATAATTTTCAAAAATCTCTTCTTCGATTCTTCTGTGTATTCTTTTCTGAAGTGAAGGAACTTCCATGAACTTCTGATATCTGTTCTAATAGATTCACTGTTCCATTAACTTGCTGAAAATAGCACCTAAGCAGGCACTGGCAGCACAGTATTTTTCCTGTTGTCCAGCCCAGCACAGAATTAGAGCAGTGCTTGATTTACTGCTGCAGAGCCCATGGGGTTGTGAGCCACAGGGTGTGAGACAGTCCCATGTGGGACAGTCTGGCCCCATCACCCATTGTGGACTTCATGTCACTGAAAGCTGAAGCTAAACCTTGCCCTGCTTGACACCTTCTTGCCCATTTGGAGATACCGGGAATCTGATCAGAAGGAAAAAAGCAGTAATTAGGATAATTTGTCTGTTTCTAATGAAAGAGCCAAAATCTGGCAGACTCAAATAAATTGAAAGGTTTAATTAAATAAACAGTACTGGTTTTTCTGGTCTGGTAGTTTCCTTGATAAAATGCAAACAATGAAGCCTAAGGTGGCTTCAATGCAAATGTCTTCTAAGGACTTATCTTGGAATGTACATCACAGAAATAGTTTAAGAAGATGAGTTCAGAAGTAAGACTTCAGTGATCTGAGTATATTTCCTTTGTCTGATCTGGCTGTATCCCTGTATTCCAAATACAAACATATATTTGTTTACCTGTGCATCTGAAACAAAACTAGATGATGCACCATTCCCTCTTAGTAGTCACAAACGCCCCTTCCCCTGTCCAGGCCATTTGTATGGAGCAGAGAGGTCTTTAGCATCCAAATGGGCATCTGACTAAATGCCTAGCCAGGAATCCTGCCTGCCAGCACAGCAAGAAGACAGGGCATCAGCACCATCTGGTACACTCCCTGCTAAAGCAATTTTGCAGCCCTTGGCAGGAGTGTTAATGGGAGCTGCAGGAGAAGAGGTTTCCTTTGCCCCACACGCTCACTCCCCTCACCCGGTGCTCCAGGAACGCCAGCCAGGGCTGGTGGCAGGGTGAGCCTGCTGCTGCCTGGGATGCCCACACAGTCTCAAGTGCCCTGAAGTGGTCCTGTCCTGCTGTGCCAGCCTGCAAGAGTTGGATGGACTGGAGGGTTTGGAGCTCAAGCTGAGGATGTAGCACCTTCAGAACCTGGTTAACTTTTCATAGTTTCATCTCGCTGAAATGCATGGAATAAAATAAATCTCATTCTGCTTCTCTAGAGCAGGTCTACTACAAAATAACTCTTCAGTAGAGAAGAATATGACTAGAGGACTCTGGGACTCCCTTCTAGCTGACTAGAAGGAGGGATAGGAGATGAAAAGGTGTAAACCTCCTGCTCACACTGTGGAGCTTGACCATCCCACTGCTGCTGCATGGAGCTTCCGGGAGGCAGCAGTCCCTTGTTTGGTCTGTTTTATGCATCATGGTCAGCTGGGCTTCAGGATCAGTATCCCTTTGGGCAGCTGTGTGTGTCACACCAGTGCCCCAGGAGCACTGCTGGATTCAGGAGAACATCAACAGTGTGTGTGGGGTGGCAAGAGGGCGAGTCCAGTGTGAGTGACAGGTCTATGTCACACTGAAAACCACCAGTGTGGTTCTTGAAATAATGCAGGGCAGGAGTGTCTTCAGAACTTAACCTGGAAACCAGTGATGGGGGCCCAGGTTCTGAAACCCCATCATTCTTGATGGTAAAATGACACACTGTTCATTGCAAACATTAAGGCATTCTTTTGGCCTGAAAGGTTGAGATGATCTCCTCCTCTTCTGGAAGCACTTGCAATACTCTTCCGGTTCCAAAAATGGTCCCTGTTCATAAAAAAGTGAACACAAGGCATATTTAATTTTCAGAAGTAGTAAACTTTTTGTTGAATCACAGTGTGTTTATTCCTGAGGAAATACAGGCACTGTTGTTCCAGCTCTCCTTAATGTTTATAGAAAACAAACACTTGCATTGGTACCTCTTGTTTTGTGTTTAATTTCTTGTCAGGGTAACCCTAAAGGACTGTAGCAAATCAGTGTTTATGGAGGCCACCTGTGCCATGGAGCTGCCTCTGTTGTTGCTGTTGGTACCCAGCTGACCACAAATGGCTCAAAGCCCCAGACAGTGGGGCTGAATTTCAGATCTGCTGGAAGGTGGAATCTCTGTTTTGAAATGAGAATCTTGCATTTTGTTTATTTCAGGGAGCATTGTGAGCGTGGGAGATCCTAAGAAGAAATACACTCGATTTGAAAAAATTGGCCAAGGGTAAGTCCAGTTACTTGTGCAAAACCATGGGCCAGGTGTTTTGCTGGTGGAGCATCAAGCATGAAGATAGGCAAGCTCCAAACATGTTCAGATATTATCGGGTTTAGATCCTCCTGTCTCTCAGCACTGATCAGAATTTACAACTGTGGTTGAAAGTAATCATGAAAGGCAACTTGATGCTGACAGTATCTCATCTGCAGCAAGGAGAAAGGCCTGAAGGTCTCTTGTCCCCCAGGTGTGTGGTTCTTGTTTGCTTATTTTCTTAGGAGAAATAATTTTTGTATGTTTCAAAATAATAAACGACCATGCTGAAGAAAGGAGAAAAAACATTATTACCTAAAAGAGTAACTTACCACCTGATAGCTGTCATCTGACAGCTCTCAATAATGTTTATTTCAAATACTTGCTTTAAACAATATTCAGTGGTCAGGCTTATAACCACATAGTTTAGAAATTGAAATCAGAGATGAAATAATAAGCTCTTTTTTCTAGCAGGGATAAAACCAAAAACTTCAGTAACAGACACAGTGCTAATGCACTTCAGAGGAAAATACATCATCTGCCTCTTGGTAGATCCCTTGTGGATCTTGCAGGTTCTAGGCATTTATTGAAAATAATTACCTGAGCCATTCCCTTTTGAAACCCAGCTTTGCTAACTGTAAATTGGATCAATTTGAAATATTTCCTACGTGAGGAGGGAAGATTACTTCAAAATGAGGTATGTAACTTGCATTTTAAATATGTACTGCTTGCACCATTGGCATTTCCGTGGCAGTGTTGTTCCAGGAGGACTGGCACCATCTGTGTAACACCAGGACACTGCTGTCAGTGTAGGACAGAAGCTGTTTACTGGCATCAGGAGGTATTTTTCTGCCTTAACTGTTTGTGAGGTCTGAGCTCAGAGTAGCCTGTTGCTAATCTGGAATAGTTAATGTACTGCAGAAAGGCCAACACACAGGCTCTTTCTCTGGCAGGCTTTATATTAAATCTCTCTGGTTTGGTAGGGCCCTTGTGGGAAGGTGTTTATGCTCCATTCATTGTATAAAAACCCTTTCTCAAAATCCAACTTGCTTCCTATCCAAAGCTTTGGTTCTAACTGTCATTTGTAAAATGTCAGTGGAAACTTCAAGCTGTACCTGTCTCTTAGAAAAGAGGTGTCAGCTGAACAAGTGGGAACAGAATAAATATGGGTGTGAAGCAGATTATTGCTGTACTGTGAGAATGTGACCATCACCCTCACAGCCTTTTATTTTGATAGTCCTAGGAGTGAGCTTGTACAAAGGTGCCTTGACAACTGCTGGAAAGATAAGTGGGTGATATGTGGCCTAAGAGGGTATCTAAATGGATTTCTTCCAACTTTTAGTACAGCCTAAAGATTGCATAGCCTCCTTAGAGAGGAGTGTGCTGCTATAACTGACTCATGCCTCTAACACTGCAGGCCAACTTACTGTGATAGGAAGAGATCCTAAAGAGAAAGATCATCAGAAAGGTAATCAAACAGGATGATCAGGAGGACCCAAAGTGCTGCATGGCTAGGGTTTGGGTGTCTGCAGCAGTGCTGGGCTGTGGCACTGCCTCGGCAGGTGCTGATGTGCTCAGTTAATGCAGGTGCCAGTTCCTGAGCTGCCACCACTGCAATAAGTTGGGTACAGCTGTGCCAAAGGCACGTGTAGTGTTGGAAGTGAACAGGTTTTTAGTAGCTGCTAATGAGAGCACTGCAAGGCAGGGAGAGGTGTGGCTGCTCAGAGAACTGCAGGTAGAGAGCAGCTGCTTATGTAAGGAAAAGCAACTGGCCAGCACATTGCACTTCATGGCTTCATCCAGCTGGGAAGTTAATACATACTGTGATGGTTTTACAGCCACTTTGCAGTGAACAGTAGGCAGCAGGCCTGTGCTGCAGTACAGGTCAGTGCTGAGTCCCTGTTTTGTTGCTTGTCTCCAGCTGAGCACTGAAAATGTTGCTGACATCAGAGGAAACTTAGTTTTAACTAGCACTTGATGAAGAGGTTGTGTTTGCTCAGGCATTGTTAGCTCTTGTAGCAAGACAAATTAGTATGGAGCCATGAGCAGCCTGTTTAGTTAGTACTGCACTGCATCACAGTGACACAGGTCTAATGGTGAGTCCTGCACTCGCCTAACTGCAGTAAAGACAAGGTGCTGCAGAACTGATTAAAAGTTACTGCTCAGAAATTAGTTACTTAGAAGTTACAAAAGTTTGTAATGCAGAATCGCAAAGCCTTTGCAATTAATTCACAGCTTTACTTAAATTCCCTTTATCTAAACTCTTCACAAGTAGGTGGCCTGGAGCATTCCAAAGGCATTCTAATTTCAGGAGCTGTTTTGAAATAAAGCCTAATATGACTTTGCTCAGGAGAATCATCACAGTGTTAGCAATTCTGAACAAATGTTGTTGACTTCTTATGAAAACAAATTGGATTAATCTTGTCAATTAGTCATAGGAAAATGCATTTGCCTTTATATTAAAAGAATGCATAGCATACCCAATGAGAATATTGCTCTCAATGCAGACATAAGGTCTCTGTTGAATTAAACTGCTTCTGAAATATTTCAGCCTGCAGGTAAGCAAACAAGCCAGGGGATCATGTGGAAAGGAGCAAACTCATTTTGGCACTTTCAGTCACTGGGACACTTGCAGGATGCACATTCCTGCTTGTGAGAATTCCCTCCCTCGCTCTCCATTGCTTCACTGCCCCTGCAGACATGGGCTTCTTAAATGATTGCAGTGTAAAGCTGTGATTTAGCTCAGAAGGAAGGGTTTTCAATCCCCTAGTTGCTTTGAAACCCAAAGGAATTGCCTCTGACTGGGGCCTTTTCAGCCCTTCATGTCATTATTGGGAAGAGCATCTTTGAAGGAGAGGCAGATGGCAAACCAAACTCCACCGTGTCTAGTCTGCAGGTGAGCACACCAGTTGTTTCTGGTGGCTCTACAACACAACCTGTGTGTGCCACAGAAGCACATGGACACCATGAAAAGTCCTTCACATGCTCGGTGCACTCAACAGAAGCAGCTGCCTACAGTTCTTGACAAATGAAGAAGTTCTATAAGTATCCTCTGTTCTGATTCCTTCTCAATTTGTGTATGAAATAATAGATGCCTTAACCTGCTCTAGCTGTGACCTTGCAGGATGGCTGGAAAATTGTTTACTTGCATGCTGGAGAAAGCTGTATTTAGATCTTTTCCTCAAATGGCTGTCATATGTTCAGGATTCTCAGAGCGACTCTGTGACATTGCCTGAGTTTGGCAGATGGATTCAATTTAAAGGTGTGAGAAGGCCCAACTGGATTGTGTGTTACATTTCATGGAAAAAAACACACTCACAGACACACAAAGAAAAGGGGGAGAAAAAGTAAATTCAACACAGCAAAATGGAAAATAATTAAACATACTATTTTCCAGTTTTTGTAGACATCCCCCCGCTGAGAGTTTGAATTAAAATAACGTGGCATGTGAACTGGGGATTTGCACCAGCCCTTCTTCTTCAGGTTGGACCTCAGTTTTCTCTGCATGGCAGAGGGCTGCCATGCTGTTGGCTGAGGAGTGGGTGAACCCTTATAAACACTCCATGCAGCAGAGCTCTCCTGTCTGGGCTGGCTTTCACTTCCAGGGAAAAGTGTTTCTCAGTTTCTCCTGCTATTTTGTTTCTAGGGCTTCAGGAACTGTTTATACAGCGATTGACATCGCCACAGGACAAGAGGTAAGTGTCAAAAATCCCAGCAGATTCTGCAGATGTTGAGTGCTTTCCCCTCTGCTGTGAGCTGTGGCTGGAGCTTTGGGTGGCCAGTAGGGCTTTCCTGCAAAGGCTGTATCTCTGAAGCATAGACAAATGTCAGCTGGCAAAATCCATCATCTGCTGTCTTCAGCTTTTCAGTGACAGGACTTTAAGAGCAGTATGGTTCTGTGTGCCTCAGTAACTGAACACTTACTGTGGCCATGTGCTTTTCAGCAGCACTGGATCTGAGGCTTTCATAAATGCCTGAAAAGGTGCCTGTGAATTCCTAGAATCAAGAGCTTTGGTCCTCTGTGCTTGGCTGGGTGCTTCACCCATAGCTTTTAAGGCCAACTTTAAGAGATGAATTTTTTTGCTTACTCTGTTTTCAGAACAGGTTGGTGCTCTCCACAGTATTGTTGATCCCACCCTGGTACCATGTTTCATTATCCATGAATGTTTTTATTAATGGAGAGAAATCTGCTAAGAAATCCCAGCAAGCTTTTGTGCCAATCAAAAGTAGATAATTTTTATTGCCAATATAAATGTATTGGTGTAGAAATTTTTCTGTCTCTGTTCCCCACTGTGCATCAAGTTGTGCTTTTCAGAGAATGTTGGTTTAGATACACAATTTAACTCTATGCATTTATACCATAAAACCTATCTGTGGATGTGCCCACAGACTGGTTAGCAATGCAACTGGAAAATCGAAAGATCTGTTGTGATTAGAGGCCTTGGGAGGACACTGGAGGTGGCCACAGACTCTCCTGTTGCTGTGAGGGATAAATAACTTTGTTACATTGCTTGATTTCAGAAAGACTTTGTCCACAGAACTGCCAGAAAAAAGGAGGGCAGCAGTATCTGCATGTTCATTCTGATCTTGTGCAACAGACTACTCATGTTAATGGTTTTTAATGTTATTTTAGGTGGCTATAAAGCAAATGAATCTCCAACAGCAGCCCAAAAAGGAACTAATTATCAATGAAATCCTGGTCATGAGGGAAAATAAGAATCCCAATATTGTTAACTATTTAGACAGGTAAGTTGTTCTGGTATTATCACATGAATGTTCATTTACACACTGCAGGCCAAAGGTTAAAAAAAACCCCTTTGATTACTACAGAACGTGGAGCTCTTTATTATTTCTCTACTCACCTCCAGTGGATGGGAGGAGATTGCATTGGCTCTGCATTAGTCTTTTCGGGCACACATAGTTTGAAGTTGCTTTTCAAAAACCTGGACCAGCCATATCTTACTAGAACAGCAGTCTGTCAGCTCCATGTTCCAAGTATTTCCATGTTGTTCTGTTGTTCTGGTGTTTGTTTTTTTCAAAGTTGATCAGATTTTCTGTGTCTTGTGCAAAGTACTGACAAGCCATCCTGGAAATTCTTTCCTTTGGGTGGTTTCCCCTATTTTCCATTCCTGGGGATGCCAGGAAGACTAAGTTCTTGTTTCCAGAAGGGCCTGATTTGACAGTTTTTTAATGGCCTTTGCTATTTCTGAATGTATATTTTGCAAGATTTTCCGAACATTTGACCAACTTCTGTCCCAGAGGTACACACTCGCCTCCCATGTAACTTGTGAAAGTTGTGTTACCTCATTCCTGGGCTTAATGGTGGAATTCATGAGTTAAGATGATGAGCTGGCTGGTGGCATGTGTCCTGGTTCCAGATTTATCTTTGCTTACTTACCTTACTAAAGTACATTAATCTCCACAGCATTATTTTCTCCTTTCAGCTACCTTGTTGGTGATGAACTATGGGTGGTGATGGAGTACTTGGCTGGAGGCTCTTTAACCGATGTTGTCACCGAGACATGTATGGATGAAGGACAGATTGCTGCTGTCTGTCGGGAGGTGAGGGATCCCACTTGTGATCCTGCTTGTGTGGACATGGTGATGCTTCTGTTTCTGTGGTGCTGTCATTATATGGAGAAGAAAGAGCAGATCCACTGCAGCAGCTGTCATTCTGTCTGTGTTTGCAGGGGACATTCTGTAGCAACAATTGATGTTTCCCTTTCAAAAGCTAGTATGTGCCTTCCCCTAGAAAGACATGACTCTAACAGTGTAGGAGCAGCAAGCTCTTCTCTTGGCTGCACTGTGTTCTGCCATTCCTCACCGTTCCCCTAGAAAGGAAATCTCATAAAACCATTTCCTTTCTTGTGTGATGAAATTACACAATGAATTTCTATCCTTAAATTTCTTTTTTCTCTTATCAGTGCCTGCAAGCCCTGGATTTCCTTCATTCCAACCAGGTTATCCACAGAGACATCAAAAGCGACAACATTCTTCTTGGGATGGACGGATCTGTCAAATTGAGTAGGTATTCTTGGTCAAGTGCAGCATTCCTGGATGTGGGGTGTGGGATTCCTTTTGAGTGAAGTCCAGTTCTGCAAAAGTGGTGCTGGTGGGAGTGCCTGGACCCCTGCTGTGAGGGCAGAGCTGCAATGTGCAGAGGGGTCTAGAGAGAAAGAGGGTGTCAAGAGTGGCTTTGCTTTGTGTATGACTCTTCCAGAGTGGAGGGAGTTACAGTCTAAAGCTTCAAGTGATTAAGTAAAAGCTAGTTGATGAAACATGAGGGTTTCTCTAAGTAGCCAGTTCCATATTACCTTGGCTACAGCCCTGAGGAAACATAGCATGGCTGCTCTTCCAGCTGGTTTCCACAGTGCATTCTCAGACTTAAAGTGGGGGTTCTTTTGCTTGATTTTGTAATTCAAGCTGGCTTTAACAGTATTTGTTTTTCTCCTCAGCTGATTTTGGCTTCTGTGCTCAGATCACCCCTGAGCAGAGTAAACGGAGCACAATGGTGGGGACTCCTTACTGGATGGCACCAGAAGTTGTAACAAGAAAAGCATATGGCCCCAAGGTGGACATCTGGTCACTTGGGATCATGGCAATAGAAATGGTGGAAGGAGAACCTCCTTACCTTAACGAAAATCCTCTCAGGGTAGGGTGAAATATCAGATACTGCTGTCTTCATAATTTGTACCATATTCTGTCTTCCATGAAATAAAATCCCATTCACATCAGCTTGTACGAGTTCTACAAAGGCCCACTTCTAAAAATGTTCCTGCAGCACATCTGCATCTGCGTAGCTTTGATTACATCACTGTGATAACCTCAAAGTGACATGTACCTGTGCAGAAACGTGCCACTATGACCTTCAGCGAAGTTTGAAATTTCTCATTTTTGAGTTCCCTTTTTGAACTCTCTTCAAGCTGTATCTCTGAGTGACAAAAATTTTCAAGTGCCATGCTTCTCCAGTTGGGGAATTTTTATGATAACCATTGGAGCTGTACCTGCAGGCACAAAACTGTCTTCAGTCTCAGACCAGTGCTGATTGATTACCTGAACCTTCCAGGAAAGATCACTGTTCTAGTAATGCCATAATTATTTATTATCAAACACATTTCTAAAAGTATCTTTTAGCACAGATACTTGTAGTAAACTAGTATATTTTGAAGTTTTCAGTTTTATCCTAATGTCTTAAAATGAAATGGCCAGTTCTTACACCAAATGAGTATGTAGTAGTGGAGGAATGTATACCAGGATAAAACCTCATGACTAACAGCTGAAACAAAATGCTGCACAGTTAATTCCTGTGGGAATTTATGGGAAAATTAATTTTTACCTATATGTATACATACATATGTTTTGTTAAGGCTAGAATTAAAATGGAGCATGATCTTTAGCTTTTCCATGCTGTAAGGTTGTGCTTTCTCTGGTTTGTGGCATCCAGACTGTATATTGCAGACTGACTGTACAGAAGGGTCAGGACGTACCTCCCAGCTGCTTGAGAAAAGAATACACCAATTATACAAATTTCATTCTTTCAATTATACAAGTCTTTCACACTTTTTGGAAAAGGTTCCTGAGTTTTCTTGGAAGACTTCCTTTGGTTTGATAGGTTGCCTGGGGTTTTTGGTTCCAGGCACACATGTGGAGTGTTGCACACTGTGTCACCTTGTTAGGGTGGATAAGAAATAAACAGATTTGGGTTCAGAGGGGTGCTGAATAAGCAGAGTGCACTGTAGCTGGCAGGGTGGCATTAGGCCTCTGTCACTGTAGCCCTGTTGTACCAGCAGAGACCTTTGCACATCACAGTTTTGCTTCTGTTGCCTGTGAACCGATATTTCACTTGCAAAAGAGGCAGTTGCCTTGTCTAGGCAGTAAAAGCAGGTGAAAAGAATTAGCATTATTGATCTGGATGCTGAAAATTCCCTGCTTCCTTAATCTGAAATGTTGATTAGGACTCCTCAAGAAGCCTCAGGTCAGCTGTTAGAAAGATAGCAGGGTTTCCTGTTTCTGACCAAATTCACAGGCAGATGCACTTGAGATCTGTGTAAGAGGTCTCAGCTGCCTACAAACAGAAGAGCTTATAAAGCAAGACTGCTTTTTACAGCAGATTTTTTTTTAGCTGATAATGCACACTAGTTGTTGGATTTCTGATTTCTGGGATGGGGATGTTATTAATGCATTTACTTGAGTATTAAAATTAGTGGAGGGTTACCATAGGGATGGAATTAGTCCTTTTTCTGATGAGACTATTAAAAGTTTACCACATAAGTGAGGCTGATTTGGAATTTGAAGACTGCTGAAAGATAGTTGAAGGTGGGTCCTGTCTGCCCAATTATGCCTTTTCATCATATTTGTGCATGCAGCTTGACATGTCTGTTGAACATGAGACTCCAAATGTTTCTGGACTATAAGCTGGATTTATTTTTCTTTTTTATCCAGTAACCAATTTTATCAAGAACAGAGCAAAAAGACTTGATTAATTTTGTTTTATGGAAGCCATACTTTAGAGACCAGTGAGCACTGCACAGATGCATTTTGTGTAATAATCCTTTGATATAATATTTTTAGACCACACTGACTCTTTAAAATGGCCTGTAAAGCTGTGTCAATACTTGGAGAAGTAAAATATGCTGATATAGTTCCTACTAACCAAGTCAGCCAATTAAATCAGCTGTCAAGGCAAGATCACTTTGACGTTGGAATAGCTGTGACTGCATCAGGGTCTTCTGGGGGTTTTTTGTTGTTGTTCTTGATATATGAAAATCATCTCTAGCCCTCTGCCAGGGAAGAAACTGCCAGTGGAAATTGGAGCTTAAAAATAGGGTCTGTGTGAGTATTTCTGGGTATGAATGAAACATACCTGTTTCCTTGTCTCCAGGCACTGTATCTGATAGCTACAAACGGGACACCGGAGCTGCAGAACCCAGAGCGACTCTCGGCCGTGTTCCGAGACTTTCTTAACTGCTGCCTGGAGATGGACGTGGACAGGCGAGGGTCTGCCAAGGAACTTCTGCAGGTAAGATAGGAAGCAAGTGCAGGTGAAACAGATGTCCAAGGGATCAGTTTTCTCGTCAAATAAAGGCAGCAGGTGGTTCTCCCACATATTCATCTCCAGTCTTGGTGCTTTCAAATGAAAACTAAGTAGAATCCTATAATGGTTTGGGTTCAAAGAGACCTTAAAAATCATCTAGTTTGACTGAGCTCGGATCTTTTAAACTAGGTCATGTCACTCCATCTAGCCTGACCTTGAATGTTTCCAGAGATGGACTTCCACCTACAACATCCTGGGCAACCTGTACCAGTGTTCTGCCATTCTCCTTGTAAACAATTTCTTAATTAGATCAAATCTAAATTGATTGTCTTTGGGTCAAAAAACAGTCCCTCTTGATCTGTTGCAGCAGGCCCTGCTAAAAAACGCATCCCCAACTTTATTACAACTTTATTTCCCCTTGAAGTATTGAAGAGTTGCAAGTTGACATCTCCCCAGGGCCTGCCCTTCTCCAGACTGAACAAGCCCAGCCCTCTCAGCCTTTCCTCAGAGGAGATACGTTCCATCTCCTGGTCATTTCTGTGGCCCTGTTTTGTACTTTTGGGAGTAAATTCAGGTTTAATTCTTGATAAAAAGAACTGAAGTAGAATGATACCAGGTATAGAGGCCTGAAATGGTGTTGTTGGGGGAGGAGCCCAGTAAAAGCAGTCCCAGCCAAGCTGTCAGAGATTTGGCTGTGGGAAGGAGGAGGCTGTGGGGAGATCACTGTGAGCCTCAGAGGGGGCCCCAGATTGTCTCTTCTGCTCCTCTCTTACAGGTTTCTGCCACTTAGCCCCATTTTTAGAGGTTTGTGCCACCCAAAACAGGGACAACTGAAGAGGACTTGTCCCAGCCCTGTTTGCTTCCTGGCAGAGTCAAGCTGCTTGAGGTTTGCTGGCAGGTTTTGTGGCAGAGAGGGAGCTACAGAATATGCCATTTGACTGTCCCTGCTGGGAAGGAAAGTGCCAGCCAGCACAGGAGAGGCAGGGGATGGAAAGGTAGACAGTGCTCTCCCTGCAAGCCAGAGCTGAGGCCATCAGCACTCTGCCACTTGCCTCCCTGCTCTTGACTTGCTGCTGAAAACCTGTACCTCAGTACAGGTCTTGAGAAAACACATGAGCCTTAATCCTACTGGGTTAAACATTTCTTAGAGGTATTGGAGTTTCCTATGGAATGACTTTCACATGTCTTTTTTGACAATTAGCACAGTTTCTATCTTTAGAAAGGGGGACTCTAAGTGAGTCTTTGGAGTTTCCTGAAAGGTACAAAGCTCTGGAGCAGCAAGCAGCATTCCAAGAGGAATGGCAGGGCAAAAATCCCAGCAAGCTGAAGGCACCTGGAAAAATGGATTGATAGGTGTGGGGGCCATGTAATAGCAGTGTCCTGGACATGAAGGTGGAAGTGCAGATGATCCCCTCAGTCCTATTTCTGAGTATTTCTGGTAACAAGTGTAATCCTAGTTGAGCCTATGAGGAACTGAGTTTGGAAAGTAATGGTACCTTTGTTGTTTCTTTTCCTTTGGGCAGCATCCATTTTTAAAATTAGCCAAGCCGCTCTCGAGCCTGACTCCTCTGATCATTGCAGCGAAGGAAGCAATTAAGAACAGCAGCCGCTAGCACTGCAGGTCGGCTTTCTGCCCTGCCAGCTCAGAGCAGGACTGAGAACACAAACTCTGTAAAACCTCAACTCTCATGCTGCGGGACAGATGGATGGATGAGCAAACCAACGGTCACAGTCATGGGGGTAGGACCACCCCAGTTCCTCAAGGAGTAAAAAAATTATCATTTGTCTTCTTCCTGCTTTCTGGCTCCTTAATTTATTTTTAAGATGAATCGGGGCTAAGGACAGAGAGGTAATGACAGAAAATGCTTTGCTGCCTCAATCATTTCCAAGGTAAAGCAAATTCAGTTGGAAGATTCCCTTCCTTCTCACCCTGTGAATAAGCTGTACATTCACTTTTAGATTGTCAGTTCTTTCTTAACGATGTAAAGTCGTGTTTATGGGGTTTTTGGTATGGTTTGGAATTTGAGAAGGGCAATTCTTCATTCACCAACTCCAGACTGCCTTTTGAATACAGCCCACTTGCCAGTTTCTGCCCAGTTGTGGTACTTCTACATGAGGAAGAAAGTGCAATGGCATTTCCAACAAAAAAGGAATGAAGAGTGGGACAGACAGAACATCTTGTGGAGACAAGGCATTCAGCTGGGACTGTGTAGTGGTTTGTTTCTTGCCAGCTGGATTTGTACCCCTAACTGCAATCTCTTTGCCCGGGTGAGAGTCTTACTCAGCTGAAACAGCAGAACAATTAGTTGGTTCAAACCTGAACCTCAGAACAGGTTTGTCTGATGCAAAGCTGTCAAAGCAATGTGAGGGGAGAGTGGGCCCAACCATTCCTGGGGCTGAGCCCCAGCAGAGCCCTGGCAGAGCCCAGAGCAACCTGAGCATTGGCAGGCTGGAAGGAGGTGCTGGTAGCAGCAAGTGGCAGCAGCCTGACCATGGGTGCCTCTTCCTGGACAGGACTAATCCTCCTGTCTCAGAGCCAAACTGGCTGGGGGCTGTTTTCCAGGGAAATCGTGGCCACGCTGAGAAATGCACAGCCTGGTGGGATTGGCCATCCTGAGTCTCTGCAGGAGTAGAGAAGAGCAAACACAGCAGAGTGGTGGTGTTGCTTCTGAGGGTGCCTGTTCTTCTCCCATCTATCTTGTAGCTCCTGGGAAAGATTCCTAGTGTCTGCAGAATTCTCAGCAGAGGGGGAGGGGACCAGACTGCTCTGCAGGCTTCTGCACAGGTGAGCATCCTTTAAACACAGGAGTTCTGCCTTGGGAACCAAGACTAATGCAGGGAACAACCTGCACAGTTCAGATCTGCAGGAGCCAGTGCAGCAGCCAGCTCTGGAAGAAAGCACCTTAAAACCTGGAGCTCTGCACTGAGCAAGAACAAAGGTGTGAAATGCAAAGTGGAATTAATTGCAGAATTACTTGGAGGCACCAGACCAGCCTGCTTTCTGCTGTCCTATGTATGACAAGCACTGTGCAGTGAAGCTCTTGAGTTCCTGCAAGAGATGGAATTGGGGATGTGCCTGTTTGACTAGTCAGCAGATTTGGAAGGGAGCAGAATACTTTCAGTATGCAATTTGTGTTTTATTTATTTGTTTCTGAAAGACACAGTGTGGCTTCACTCAGTAAAAGCATTTGCATGGCGCATTTGTTGCTGTATCTTAGGAGTACAACTCATGCAAGACCTTCAAAACAGCAACTGAAGCAGCATGCACCCAGTGAGCAAAAAAGACCCTCACAGTAAAACAGCTTTCTGCTATAGATCTTCACGTTGGCCTGATCCTGCAAAGGGTTAAATAGCCTTTAAGGCTCTCACCACCTTCATGTCTGGCCAGCAGGAATGAAGGATGCTTGGGCTGTTCTTGAATCAGGCCAGGAGCATATCTAGCTTTGGCATTCTCTTGAGTTGCAGTCTTTGTGTGGCAAGTGTCCTTACTGCTGCTGCTCTCGCTCATGCTGGCCACTAGTGTCCTTGGCAGAGGGAACCCTCCTTGAGTTACCACAGCTAAGTAGAAATTAACTTTTCTTCATTTCCTGGAGAACACAACAGGTCCAGTTTTTCAGATGGCCAAATAACACACCGAGGCGAGCAGCTCTGGTTTCCTGGGCTGGGGGAACGTCGGGAGGAGCTGAGGGAGCTGCCAGGAGCCCACAGCTGGAGCGGCAGTGGTTAACAGGAGCTGGAGCAATGGCTGCCAAGCTTTACCCTCATAAAAGAAGCTCCTGGGCAGTGAGAGTGGCCAGGACAGGCTAACAGGCCGTAGCACAGCAGATGGTACAGAAGGGTGTGCAGGAAGGTGCACACATTGCCAGCTTGACCAGGGAGCAACGGTGTCCACCCAGCAGAAGGCCATGGCTTCTCCAAGTTCTGCACCCACCACAACCCATGCAGCAGCAGACAGAGCTCTGGTGGGATCGGGCTGCCAGCCAGGTGTCAGCTGCAGGCTGTGCCCTGCTCTTAGGCCAGTCCTGGTGGCAGCAGCAGCATGAGTACAGCTGTGGGACATGCCTGGGGAGAGGAACTCCTCCACTTTGGGCCAGAGCTATACCAGAAAGCAAATGGGGCAGGAATTTCCAAGCTTACTGAGCCCCTTTCTATCATTTACCAGCAGTCCTGGCTAAGTGGGAGATCCCATGGTGATTGAACTATGGCAGATGTGACATTGATCTACATGAAGACCTGGAAGGAGAATCTTGGAAACTACAGGTCTGTCACCCTGACCTCAGTGCTGGGAAAAGTCATGGGGCAGATCATCTGGAGTGCCATCACATAAAGAACAACCACAGGATCAGGTCCAGCTTGTGTGGGTTTGTGCTAACTGGTGCTGCCTGACCAGCCTGATCTTTCACAAGAGGTGACCTGCCTAGGGCATGAGGGGAAAGGCTATGGATGTGTCTCCCTGGAATTTAGTAAAGCCTGTGTCAGTGTTTCCCACACCTTTTTCCTGGAGAAACTGGCTGCTCATGGCTTGGGAAAAAATACTGTTCTCTGGGAAAAAAAAAAACCTGGATGGATGGCTGGGCCCAGAGAGTTTTGGGGAATGGAGTTATATCCAGCTGGGGCTGTCAGTAGTGGTGCACCAGGGCTGGGTAATGGAACCAGTTGTGTTCAATATCTGTATCAGTGATCTGGATGAGGGGATCAAGGGCACCCTCAGGTAACACCAAGCTGGCAGTGTTGATGTGCTGGAGGACAGGAGGGATCTGGACAGTCTGGATTGCTGGTCCAAGGCCAGCTGGATGAGGTTCAACAAGGCAAAGTGTCAGATCCTACACTTGGGTCACAACATCCCCCTGCAGCTCCAGGCTTGGGAAAGATTGGCTGGAAAATGCCTGGTGGGAAAAGACCTGGGAGTGCTCGTTGAAAGCAGCTGAGCACGAGCCAGCAGCTTTACAACTACCTGAGAAGAGGTTGGAGCAATGGGGAAATCAGTCTCTTTGCCCAAATAGCAAGCAATGGGACAAGAGGAAGTGGCTGCAAGGATGGTCAAGCACTGGAACAGGCTGTGCAGGGTTGAGTCACCATCTCTGGAGGGATTTAAAAGATTTGTAGGTAGGGCACTTGGAGACAGGTTTATTGGTGGGCTTGGCAGTACTGGGTTGATGGCTGGACTCCATGAGCTCAGAAGTCATTTCCAACATGAATGATTCTGTTCTGCTTAGAAGACTTTGTTTCTCTTGTGAGGTCCCATTTTTGTCTGTCAGCTCAAGATCTGTGTCTGTAGGAGAAGCTTCCTTGCAAAAGAGTAATTTGGGCTGTAGATGGGCTGCCCTCAATGTGTGAAGCATTCAGCAGAATGAAATATGTTTGTATTCCTGTAAGAAGTGAAGAAATGAGTGACAGTTTCTGTTTCCAGTATGTATTTTATTTTTCCTATCCACAAAAGAACAGACAGCCATCCTTTAAAAGGAAAGCACTTTGTTATGGCACATGTTTGCTGGACATACAGTCTAAATACTTCTGTTGACAAACTACTCTATTTGATTGGGGAAGGGGGGAATTTCCTATTTATTTCCTTTACCTAGAAGTATTTCAGCATCTCTACTTCAAAAAAAAAAAAACCCACCACCATAACTTTCCAGAAGTTAGCAGGTATGAAAAATAAGGAAATCAAATGGTAGCTTTTTATTCTAATCAGTGTATGCCTCAGCATACAGAATATTGTTGACACTGACTTTTTAAAGACAGCTGCTGTCCTAAGAGGCCTTACTTTTAATTTTATTAAATATATTCCTTTTTCTTTGCATCAGAAAATTTAGAGATTTTAATTTTAAAACCAATTCCTGGGAGGCAGACAACATTCAGCAGAAATAATCTCTGCCTGTGGCTGTTTTCAGCACAGACTGTACCTGCCCAGCTGAGACTGTATGACATGCAGGGAACGTACCTCCAGTATCCCTGTGGCTCTGTGCTTGGACAGCCTGGTGTTGATTCACACTCACTGATACTGAAAGATGGCAGCAATGTTTGTATCCTCCCAGCCTGAATATTAAATGTAGAAAAGACACAAGTATTTTTAAAAAACCCAACAACACAAACCCACACAAATCCAGTCCTGTGGAGGTCAAGTCTTGTGCATTATTTAAAGGCTCACAGAGTATATTAGGACTGACAATAGCATTGGCCTTGCAGAAAAGAAAGAAACAAATCCTGTAAAAGCTCTGGAGCCACCTCGGGTTTTCTGGCTGCTATCCTCAGATCAGGCAATTAGTTATATATATATTAGAAGTATTAGAAATAGTCTGTTTCTGTTACAAAATGAAAACTAAAGGTTTCAGACACTTTTATTCCAAGATTTTAAAAGATTGGTTAATTGTCTTCATTTTTAAATTAAACAGTGAAATACCCTAACCAAGAACTTGACTATGATTCCCATCCCTGCAATGAAGACATGTGAAAATGAGCTCATAGCTCACTGTGGTTTACATGTGTTTTGGGACAAAAGCATGGTAGCAGTAAAGTCAGGGAAGTTTGAGAAGCACAGAAAAGTTTATTTATTTAAGAAAAAAGAAAAAAAAAAAGGATAACCATACCTATGTAAAATTCCATACAGCTCCTGCATGCACTCCTGGGAACCTGCACGGGGGTGGATCTTACAGTGCTCTCAGGGTTAGATCCCAAACTTGGGCCAGGGTTACATTCTCACTTCTTGTGTCCAGTGCTTTTGTAAATATATTTATTCTTCATCTTTGGCTAATGGTTGGCCACTCCACTACACACAAAAGAACTCAAGGGTTTGTGCTGAGTTTCTTTGAGGCCTGTGGCTGCACTTTGGCAGGTCTTTGAGTCAGTTCTTCCCTGTGTTCTGCCACCAAAAATTAAGCACATTCCAGTCACCATTAGAAGGGAAGTACCTGTCTCCTGTCCTCTAGTTGTAGGAAATGTCACTGTCCTCTATTGTCCATGCAGCAGTTATTTCCAGTATATAATCCGTGGTGTGGCTACTGACTATTCCTCACACTGAGCATGTAAATATTTGTATTTCTTAGTCCAGTCCTGAGCAAATCCAGTGAGAAAAGAGCCAGAGAGAGAGAAGAGAGCCTTGTGACATCTACCATTAAAGGAAGGAGTCAGTGTTTGACACCCAGGACATGCATTCAGGTGCCAGCTTTGCCTTGCTAAGTGCTGCCAAGTCAGTGGTCCATCCACCTTCCCGGTGTTCCTGCTTCCTCTTGGACCATTCATTCATGCCCAGATGTGCAGCAACTTAATGATGGGTTGATGAAGACCTATAAATGTTCATCTCCTTTTTTTTTTCCTCTCTACTCCCCATGCCAGGTAAATAATCTCCAGTTTTATCCCGATTTTTCAGGAAGCAGACGGAGGATAAACTTTGTTGTTCAAGAGAAATCATCCAAGCTTGTTTTGAGTGTGATTTGCAATTCAGGGATCTTTAAAACTTCTCTTTACTTGTGTCTGTCCTTGAGCTGACAGGGTAATTTTATTTTTCTCACTGAAACTTGCAGAATCTCATTTACCTGTCTCTCTTTGGATGCAGTTTAGAGGTGATTGCCATAATACTGGATATGCATCATGCCTGCAAACCATCACTGGCCTGAGCCTACCAACAGTTGTGTGTACCTTTGCTTACAAGAATTATCTCAAAAGGAGAAATGGTCTTACAGCAAAGAGGAGGAGGGATGCCCATATGCTCTGTATGGGTGCCCTTGAGGCTGCCACGTGGGCACAAGCCTGCAAACCTTATTCTTGCTGTGTTGCAATTCCCCCCGGCAAGCACTTGAGTTCTGTGAGAATCTGACCCTGACTGAGGAATCTAGGGCAATATCATTAGTTACAGTTGATAATACTGAAAACTGATTTAATTATTGATTGGGCAATTAATTGATTTAATTGCCTGTGATCACAGTGACTTTGCCCTGCACAGTTTTCAGACAGACGACTACACATCAGCTTCAGCACCTGTGTGTTTTCTGCTGTGTTTGGTGGCACCATGTTTGCAGCTGCACCTGCCTCACCCAACTTGGGGACAGAGCCAAAAGGAGCAGGGTTGGGCACCATGGCCTGGGTTGGCAGCCATGAATGCAGGTCAAGAGAGCTGTCAGAAACATGTGCACACACCTTTGAATCACAGCTCCCTGGTGTTACAGGTTCATGGATACCAGCCACTAGAACAGGTTCTGACCCGGGTATCCAGAGGTCTTTTCCAACATGAAGTATTCTACAGTTCTGTGATTCTATCTGCTGGATTCAGCTAGGTCCATGTTAGCAACTTCAGTTTGATCAAAAAGTATCTTCTTGGTCAGCTCTTGTGGCCTAAAGGCTTCAGCTCCTTTAGCTGCTCCTAGTGCTGAGCTGCTCATGCTAAACGAGACAACTCGGAGAGAAGACTACATTTCATCCAATTACTTCTAGAACACTGATTGGGTGAGTGTGTGAAAACATGAGTGTAACCTCTTCTCTGCCCTTCATGCCTCTCAGGGGTTTGAAGCAGGAAAGAACTTTCCAAAAGGGTGGATTGATGCAGCATGCTACTTCTCCCAGACCTTGCTATTTCCAGTCTCTGCACTTGACTAGTTTTGTCCCTCTTTCTGTGCCCTTTGCTCCCCCTGTGCTCAGTGGCTGCTAATCCAGACTATAATTGGCATGGATAAAATGGCTGAGACCCTCATTTCTCTGTCCTTTGAGCTGCCTGGTCACATCTGGACACTCTATATGGAAAGGGAGGCCCCACCTCCGTTCCTTGCAAACCTCCAGGAGCCCAGGGCTGCCATCTGAAGTCAGTGCACTGAGGGCTCCCAGATGCCTCAGGCTGGTGTGACACCCCTGCAAATGGGAGGGAATAGTGGCAGGAGGTTGTTTTGAAAGGTTCATTTGCTGCTGCATGCTGTGTGTGTCCAGCCCTGCCCCAGGCTTAGGGATCAAATTCAAGCACTGCTGCCTCTCCCTCTGGAGTCGGTGAGAATTCGGTTGTTGCTTTCAATGACGGCTGAAGTGGCTGCTGAAGCAGGAGGTGCTGACAGTGCCCTGGGCTGGAGGTGTCCCTGGCTGCCTGGGTGGGCAGGAGCTGCCCCTTTTTCTCACTCTGCCTCACACAAAGCTGTGCCAGTCACAGATGGACCAGCACAGCAAACAGGCAGCCTGTGAGTCTCCTCCACCTTGTCTCTTGAGAGTTTTGACCTTTGAGCTTAAGCTGTACAAAGGCAGCTGCTTTTGGTCCCTCTGTGTATCCCCACATTAATCGATGCTGCTAAATCTGTCTGTGGCACAGCAAGGGGAAAGGCCTGAGCCCTGCAGGAGCTGCCTGAGCCACCCAGCCAGCAGGAAGGGAGCTGCTCCTCACGGGAGCCAGGAGCAAAGGGCCACAGCACCTGGTGCTGGGGCAGAGCCCAGATCCTGGGGGAACGTTAGCAGAGCTGTCCTTGTGCACTGCAGCTGCTGTGCCTGCAAACACATGGTCCGAGATCTGCAAAAGAATTCTGCAACTCTTGACTGGATCAGGATGTCACCAGTGCTAAACTCTAGTTTAGTCCAAAGCAACCAGTTTACACCTATGCTGGTGTGTGCTAGATTTTTTTCTTCAGGGTATCCAGACAAAAGTAAACAGAGGAGGAGCCTACATTTTCATTGTTTATCAGAAATGTATCTCATTTTGCTGTACATTCCTTTTTTAGGACGTGTTATCTGTTTAAAAAAAAAAAAAGAAAAAAGAAAAGAAAAAACAGAAAAAATATGAAAGAGAAAAACAAAAAACAAATGTGTAGTGAAAAAATCTTCTGTAACTTTGGATTAAGAGGTAACTGATCTTTTTAAAAAGAGAACTAAGTTATTTACTTTGTAAATGTGCTGATGGCATGGATCCATCTTATTGACCTCAGCATCCTTTTTTTAAAGATTTTGGGTTTTGTTTCCAATATTAAGTTATTTTAAATTGTGGTTGAAGCAATAGGAAATTGAAATATGGATTGTGCATGACTGTGTCTTGAGTGTAAAAATATTGCAGTTTGAAACTTGGACCTAAAGTATTGCAAATAAAAGTTATAAATTCCAATGGATTGTGTGACAGCAGCTCTTCCTATAGGATGTGCAGCATCAGAAAGTCTTCATCAGTGGGGTTGTGCATGCTTTTAGTTTTGTCCTGTGCCACTCTACGTTGTCATGACACAGGACTTGACCTGCCACCAGCCCAGGTCACCCTCTGCCACTGCAGCTCCTTGGATCTTCTGTCCCCCAAAGCAGACACAAAGTGTTTCTGCTGCTCCCCCTTTGCACAGATCCACAGAGTGCTAGGATTTTTCCAAGTCTCCTGTCTCCATTGGGCCATATTCCTAAAGAACCAGCAGCCCATCCTGATGACTACAGCGAGTTATGAGCATGGTTGTCAGCTCTACTTCTGCCTAGAAATCCTGAAACTGCTTCTAAATGCTGCTCCTTCAGCTCCTGGACACCTTCTCACACAGAGCTGGGAAAAAAATCCCGTGGCTGCCTGCTTACAAGGTGAGTTACGCCAAAGTTAGAGCTCTGGGGGAAATCTATCCATCCCTGTCCTTATAATATATTTATACATGGGGGTGTGCATGGATGTGTCTTGTATAGACAGGAAGGAGTGTGCAAGCAGCATGACTGACACTTTTACTCTCTGTTCCATACCCATGGGTACAACAACATTATGGAAACCCTTGTACAGACAGACCCTTCTACCCATGGATTCAGAGACATTAAAGAGCCCTTGCACAGACAGGCCCTTCTGTCTGTGCATACAGAGAATCCAAGGGCCTCTGGCATGCACAGACCCTTCTGTCCCTGTAGAACCGAGCACGGCGAGCGGGCAGTGAGTCCCAACAACAGGCCCAGCTCAACGCCTGCCAGGCCTTACTCAGCCTTAATGCTGGCTCCTCTGCAACAGGAAGGACCTTCAGCCTTGTCCCTGCCCAGAGGGGCAGTGCTGACCTGGCAGCACAGGTTGCTTTCCCCACAGGCTGCAGGAGATGAGAACACAACATTTGCCAACACTGACTGCAAGCCACAGCTCTGGGTGCTCCCCGTGAACCTCAGCTCTGGGACCACTGTCTGCCCCAAGCTCTGGGGCTGCAGTGGGAGCCCGGCTGGGCTCTGCCCTGGGGCCATCCTGCAGGGACAGCTGCAAACAGGGAGCACTCAGTTGGCACAGCCACGCCATGGGTGGAGGGGAGCTGGTCCAGGTCTGGACTGTGCTCTGGGGCTGGGGCTCCCCGCACAGGAGATTGCACTGGTGTGCCAGAGGAGACAGAGAGGCTTCAGCTTAAGCTTAACTGAGGTGGGTGGGTGGGCTGGGAAGAGTGGGGAGGGTGAAGGGGTTTCACAGAGCTCATCCTGCTGAAAGGATGAGGAAAGGGAGTGGAAACTCAGCAGTGAGGAGAGCTGTCCTGGCATAGTCAGTGCGGAAACACTACCTCAGTTTGTACAACTAAGGAGTCAGTATCCATCTTAGGAAGGTGGTTTCCTGAAAGATTGAATTTGGCATGTGGCTTCCACTTCTCAGAGGTGGCCTTCTGAAATTCTGGCAGCACACATCTTTTGGACAAGGTAAGCAGCTACATGGAATCTTGGTGTGCAGCTGATCTAGTGCACTGGGTAGGTAACACCCAGCAACAGTGCTCCAGCACTTCTGTATGGGATCAGTCCCTGGATGTTTTGTAATTTAGAGGAGGGGATGTCAGTTCTTTTAAGATGGGCTTGTAGTTCCTCTCTTTGACAAGGAAAGCAAGTTTGGAGCCAAACATTGGGTGCTCTTAGTGAGTTTAGAGGCTTTTCCCAGTAGGCAGTTCACTGGGTTAGACTGTTCAGGTGCCAGGGGATGCAAACACCAGGCACTTGAGCTTTGTGTCCTAGGACCTTTAGTGTGTGAGCAGTCCTCGTTGCCATTCTCTTTGGATCCAGACTGGAGACTGAAGGCTTCAGATGGTACCTAGACCTGAGAAGGAAAGTGCTGACAGCAGGGTGTGTGCTGGTAAATTGAAGTTGTCAGCAGCAAGAGCTTTCTCAGCTGGCAGCTTTCTCCGTGAGTTCTGTTTTGCCAGATGTTTTCAAGTTTGGAGGCCGGACTCTGGGCGAGTGCAAAGCTTTATTAAGGCAAAGGAGTTCATGTTGCTCTTTGAGTGTGGTGCAAAGAAGGCTTTGCAGTTGGAAGGGGGAGATTGGGGAAATCTTTTTGTCGTGGCACAGTTGTTTAGGGAGCAGGGACGTTTCTGACTTGGCTGTGTCCTCGGGTACTTTCGAGCTGGGCTCGGTGTGTGTCCTTCTTTCGCAAGTCGACACCACCATCGTGTGGTTGTTTTGATGAGCGCTGACAGTGCCCAGGACAAAGCCCAGCGCTTCCCTGGCTTGGCCCATTCCCGTGGGAGCGGTGTGGGGCAAGAGCTCGGCTGCGGGTCCTGGCTCTGGGACTGACACAAGGTTATCCTGCATCCGGCGGCGAAGGAAGAGGAATCGTTTCATTGTTGGCTTTGCAGTTTGTAGTCTGCAAAAGAAAAGGCAATTCTAGCATGGCCTGTTTCTTTAGAACCTTTTCTGTGTGATCAGTGTCTTAACACACCCACTGAACTGCATCCAGCTCCCTGGAGATATGCACGTTCCTTCTCAACTAGATATAGAGCATCCTCACATTCTCTCAAGGTGGCAGGGTCCATTCTACGGTGAAGCACTTCCAAGTTCAGTTCAAGACTGAGAGATGTGCCAGGACAGAAACGTGCCACTGCCATTCCATCTTCCCTGTAAAACCTGATTCCCAGTGCAATCACTTTCACACAGCTTCAGCATAGGTCTGAGAGCTTTACTCTGATACTGTATTGCTTAGCTTTTATTTCTGCGTGTTCCTCTATGCCAACCTGTCCACTGAGTACTTCAGTACGAAGTTCATGTCTACTTTGCTAGTTCCTTGAACTGTATTTTGGTGGAGCTGCATTTGAAATCCTCTGGCTCAAGGCTTGTTTTCCTGATAGGTATTACACAACACAGTAAAAAATGAGCTGTAGAGTACTGGCAATGCTATGGCTTGTTGTACTACAATGGCCTGGACCCTCTTGATGCCACTGCAGAGCCAGTGCTTGCAAATGGTGCATAAATGTGTTACTGGAAATGTGTAGCAAAGGAACCAAAGCTTTTGTTCTATCTCTAGAGAAAGTGATTTTGATGACAAAAGCTGACATGTCACAATTCAGATGAACTTGCTTTTTTAATTTGGTTTTGGAGTTTACTAACACTGGATGAATAAAGAAATAATTTTACTGGGTTTAGGTAGCTGCAAAAGTGATGCCAGCTGCATTAATTGCAATCAGTGGTGGCCCCAGCTGGCCCAAGGGGAAGGCAGCAGGGCAGCCAGTTCTTCTGGAAGTCAGCTGAGGAGAAGGGAATTGGGACCTGGGGATGGAATGCTTGGTGACTATGATGTCACCAACTCAGCCATTAGACTAAACTCCAGAGAGAGGATAACTATATGAGCTCTGACAACAGACCCCAACTTTTCACTTTTTTTTTTTTTTCCAGAACTAAAAGGATATTTTAAATCTTGAAAGCAACAGATGTATCACCTGAAAGTGAGTGTACTTCATGATACATGAAATCCCATCTTTCTTATTTCATTTATTTTTCTCAAAGACAATTTGTCATTTTTGTAAAACTATTTCCCATAGTTGTGTTGTAGGACCTTACTGGGTAGTATGATTTATTTGGTGGCAAGGAGGGTTTATACATCAGTCGCCTGTGTTATACACAGTGAGGACAAAATACTTCAGTGAGATGAGTTTTTCATCTAATCAGCCTAGAGGAGCATCTTGTCTCTATTTCCTCAGGGCAGTGTCCTTTCGGCAAAACTGGGAAAGCCTGGAAGAGAGGTGATCATTGCAGCACAGTGTTAAAGAGTACCTGGGGATGCAGAAACAGCAGAGCTGTTCACGGGGCTGAGGAAGGAAGACTCCTGCTTGGCTGCAATCTGCTATGGTGGCATCTCCCAGAGAGGTCTGAGGAGACTTGGTGGTTAATCCTCTCTGCCACTTGTGTAGATCTTTGCATATGTGATGCCCTGTTGGCAGAGCAGTAAGAGAAAAGTCTGTGCTGCTGCTGACAGCAGTCTGAGGGCTCCTGAGGAAAGCAGGAACAGCAACCTCCAGGGTTACCAGAGGACACTTGGCTGGGGCCAGACCTGACATCTTGGGCCATTATCTGTATTCTCTGCTACTTTGTGGGCTACAGGGACCGTAGCACTTTGGCTGTGTGTTAGGCCTTCAGGCCTTGATCACAGTTCCCCTCCATGCTCCTCCCTCCCTGCTGACTTTACCATAAAATCAACGGAACTTTCCAGCCCACCTCATTTTCTGATACAACAGGACAACACTATGTATGTTTTCACATCATATCACACCCACTTAGCCTTACAACAATGAAGTAGTTTGTTCTGGGCAAGGTCCAGATATGCAGGAAATCAGGTAATTTAAAGTTGCTGAGGAGGAACAAAGAGAAAAAACTCCCCTAATGATGACTTCTTCCTCATCCTTTATCGCAAGTCCTTTTACCTGCTATCAGTTTTACCTGTAACTGGTTTGTTGTTACACACACACACACCCCTAAGATAAAACAGATCTATTAATAGCTTTTACTATGGAAAACTTTAGAGGTCAAGATATTAGTAACAACTTTCCCATTCCTCTCTGATTAGAGAAATCACTGGTGGAAACATGCCATCATCATCATCATTGAATTGTCATAGAATGGTTTGGGTTGGAAGAGACCCTAGAGATCATCTTGATCCAACCCTCCTGCCATGGCCAGGGGCACCTTCCACTTGTCCAGATTACTCAGAGCCCCATCCAACCTGGCCTGGAACACTTCCAGGGATAGGGCAGACACAGCTTCTCCAGGTGACCTGTTCCAGTGGCTCACCACCCTCACAGGGAAAAGTTCTTTTTAATATCTACTCTACCCCTGTCCTCTGTCAGCATGAAGCCACCCCTTTTATCCTATCACTGCTGTCATCAGAAGATTTTTCTGCAGGTGTTTCGTGTCTTATTTGCATGG